AATTCGATTTACTCGAGGATGACGTGTCCGGTGATTGTTGAGGGATCACCGGCTCGAGAAACGCATTCGATTACATTCTGTCTCGTGCAAAGTAGCCTTCTGTTGGAAGAAAACGGTATAAAAGGACCTCGAAGGGGCATCGAAAGCGACCGTCTAAAATAAACACACCACTTGGCAGGCCTTCGAAATAGAGTTTCATTCACTCAACCATTCGTCGAGCGAACGAATTAAATCGAATCGAAGGGAATCGAATAGATCAAAAAGCGTCCGTCTCGCAAAAATTACAAGCGACGATTGCCACTATTCGTTCCGATACTCTTCTCTCGTAGATAAGAAAGTAAAAAAAAGAACATGCAAGACTCGCGCACTCGCGCGCCGTCGGTGAACTTGGAGGAGAAAGTCTCTATTCGGCTCGCGAACGCACGTTACTGAGCCCCCGTTAACATATGCGGGAACATTATTGCGACGCGGACGAGCAAGAATTGAGCAACGTTGTGCAACAAACGTTGGAACTTCCACCCGCTTCGGTGGAACAAACAGATCCGAGAGGAACGAGGTTGAGCGTGTTAAACGATGAATATTTTCGCAAACGCGTCCCGTAAAAATCGCTGAACCTTACGTATTTAAAAGATAAATTCCAACGATATAAATATATTGGAAACCATCGATCGCCCGACCTCGAAATCATTAATCGCTGGCTTCGGTATTTCGTGCGTTGTTGCGCAGAAGTACGTTAAAAAGTCAAACTTTCACCTAGACGATTCTCCACGGGCACCTTGAAAGAACTGTACAGAAAAAGTAACCTCGACGGTTTGAAGGAGCGAGCACTCAACAATAACGCGCGGACTTAACGAGTCTCTCCAACGCAAGAGCAAAATATTCCACGGTGTACGAAGACGTATGCGGGATACCCGAATCGTTCTACGTACGATTCAAGCGTCCGATTACAATTATTTTATTATCTTCGCTTTCGAGGCGAGCCACTTGCGCTCTCTCTCTCTCTCTCTCTCTCTCTCTTTCTCTCTCTTTATTTAGCGAGAATCTATTTTTCACGGTATAATGTTACGCGCACGTGCGGTCGAGGGAGGCTTGGTGGTGGTTCCCCCACAGGTTCGTTTCAGTATATCTCTTTAACGGGGTTTCCCCCCTTCCCCCCGCCCGCTCCCGAGTCTTTACTTTTCCAGTCGCTATCAAATCCAAAAGGGACGAATCGCTAGCGATCGAAGTTCGCGTTCTGATCGCGTTGCGTCGCGTGAACGCGCGGTCTCGAGTGTCTGGTTGCGTTTCGCAACGATTTTCTGGTTGCCGATATCGCCCTTTGTTCGCTCGTAACGCGGGCCCAGGGCAGATTAAAACAGCAAACGCATTTATTTATAGATGCTGCGAGCGTGTGCGCATCGACTGGAGCGTGCGAGCGTGTGTTCGTTCGGTGTCGCGCACAGCGGGGAGAAGAGAGAGAGAACGCGTGTGCATCGCGAAACGGAAGACGCGCTCGCATGCCAAACGCCCGTCGGGGGGAGGGGGGGGGAGGGGGGAGGGAAAAAGCGGCGTCGCGCATCTGCGCGAAATATTTCTGTACGTTTTCGCCGCCAGGGTGTCGCGTAGGGGTTGATGCACGCGACCGAGTAGAGAGGGTCCCTATCCGAATTTTCTCCCGTGGTTCGTCTCGATCTAGCGACGATCCTGCCGCTACTCGATTTCGAGAGGCGATCTCCGAGAACTACGATAATTGGAAAACCGACCACCGCGCTCGATTACGCGTTGCTCGCTAGAGGAATTTACGATCTAGTCCGTTACGATCTAGTTCAGCGTGTCTCGAACTTCGCTTTCCCACGAACGCTCTCGGTAAAAGAAAACCGTTGACGAACCACCATCTACAGAAAAGAGACGTCCTGAAATTTTGAAATTTCCCATTAGAACGCAAACCGTGCGGAATGCAGCCTCGCGCGGTGTTGTATCCGATACGCATAGCGATGCTCAAATTGAAAAAAAAAAAAAAAAAAAGAACCGTCTACCGGTGAATTAAAAATTCTTGATTTATCGATACAGCTTCAGCAGCGTGGAAAAAGACTTCGTTCGACGCGTATATTCTGCATACTTCGCGTCGCGAGTAGATTAATGGCGCCTCGTGCTAGGGATGCGAGCACCGAGGCGAAGGATGTGTACGGGAATAGGTCGTTGTCGAAGAAACGCAACTGTCGTTCGATCCTCCAAGGTGCTATGCGAAATTCAGATAGCGAGCGACGCGCAAGTCCGCCGTCGGATCGCGATACGTTCTTGGGATAGGCATCGACTTGTCGGAACCTGCACAGACACGTCTGACAAAATGATACGGAGTACGGTTCGCCACTGCCTCGTGTCGTTCAACGTGTACCCCGGTCATGCGCCGTGGTGAACGGCCCATCGGTCAACGAATCTGTCGTGCAATAATCGCAGTCTCGTGACTGCTAAAAAAAAAAGCTGACGCTCACTTTTCTTCAACTCGAACGAACAATGCGACTCGAAGCATCGACCCTTTTTGAATTCGAATCGTGCTTTGCCCATTTGTCGCGGCATTTGTCGCGGTGTTTCTCAAAGGCCTAAACTCCCGCAATCGCGTTTCGAAATTTTCGAGATTAAAGCGAGTCGCGAAGAAGATCGCGAGCACCGATAATCTTTTACAGCAAACACTCGCGATGTAACGGTTTAGTTTTTTTTTTTTCTCTTTTTTTAAAGTGTAAGCGGTGTCTCGATTGACCACACCTTTGTCAACTCACGCATTTTCGGTTCCGATAGAGTCCCGCGTCTATAGAAAGTAAATAAGAGCCGATAACTCTCGAGCGCGGTAAACACCGCGCCTTCGTAGCGATTCTAAATTTATCGAGCCTCCGATAAACGCTGTAATAACCGAATTGCCCTTCCCGGGATTTTCGTGGCCATAAATTTTGAATCGTGCCAAATCGAGAAACCCGCACCGGACAAAAATGGCTTCCAACTAGTTATTACCCGATTTATACTCGCGCGACAAATCGCGTTCGCGTCGCGCGAAGATCGAGACAATCGGATGCGATACCTCCGAGAGATGCGAGCATCGACGCGAATTTTCAATACGCGTCGAATACGGCGACAAAAATTTCGATACGAAATTAATTTTATAGCGAATCTCGTTTTCACGTTTCGAAAACGTTCCAGGTATCGCGCAACCGGCGGAACCGTCTCGCGTCCTAATAGCAAAATTCCAGAAACCGGTGACGCGCGGAAACGATTTGGTAACGCCTAAGTTTATCGCTCCGTACATTCTTGAATTTGTTGCGCGCGGTAGGATCGAACGGGTGGGCCGCGAACTTTGTGGGTGGACGATTACTCTCGCGATGGAGTCGTCGGTTCGGTGGTGTACTAAGTAATTTTAGCGATGACACTCGGCCAGACGCGGTGCTCCGCGATTATGAACCGCCGATTCCGTGTTAAAAATAGACGGACGATCAATTTTCGTCCAAAGTTGGAGAACGGTAACCTCGTGTTGCCTCGATTAGAACTCGTCTCGCGACAAACAGCTTTAATATTATATAAATGTACGTTACTGGTATAATTAAAAATCAACATGGTCGATGCATTCCTCTCGAATCGATCGCTTTAGACTCAGGAAGGAGTTAACGCAGACATTCCAAGTTCGAAGTCTGGTAATCGTTCAGTCTTGTTTGACGTCTGCTCGTGACGAATCGTCCTTTGTTAAAACGATCCTAACGTTGATCGTAATTTTAGAAATGATAGCGGCTCGCCGGTGTGCGTGTGGCGTTGTCTCTTGCAAGAGCGAAGGACGCGCTTCTCCTTCCTGCGTCCTTTTGTGCTTTCTGGGAAACGTGTGCCGGTTGTAATACGTCGCGGCGTCCCCGTCCGCCGATTGGCCGACGCGATAATGGGGAACGCGAGGTTGTCGCTACGTGAGCTGCGATTCGAGCCGTGTCATTAATATATCATCGTAGCTGGACGGTACACACTTTTATTCGTCGATGAAATCCGTCGGGTGACTGACAATCGTTTCCACCCAAGTTCCTCGCGACGTGGAACGCACGCGTGTCGCCGGCGGTAGACGTCGATGTAGGTTCGAAGTTACGGAGGTCAGATTTTTAGCGCAACTGATTGCGAGATCGAAACGTGTATACAGACATCGATGACCGATGATTATCAGGAAGAGGTTAACCGCTACGAACGTAGCGATAATTGGTTGTAATTTTAGCGATGATGATGTCGACGACAAAGATTTCGCATACCTTGAAACGCAACCCTGGATGGACTATCTGGTTCGCCCGATAGCTTATCGGCTATTGGATCACGGTTATTTCTATCTATAGATCTCTGCGGATTAAGGCCGCTCGCGATATCGAAGCGACGAGGAAACGATAACGCGAGCGGCGTACCTTTCCAACGATGTCGGTTTCGCATCGTTTTTTATTTTCCTTTCATTTTTCCCCCTCGATCGTCCGTTTCGCAACGTCTCTTTTTCCTTCGAAACGAAAACATTCGTCGGAATCGCGGTGTCCACGTCGACGATGCGATCGAAACTTCCTTTATCTGGCTGGGTAACACCAGTTAACGGCAATCTAACGCGCAGTACCTTTCCAAGGCGCTCGAGCTGCACAGCTGCCAGCGAAAAAGCATTTATTTTCCTAGCCGTTTCGTTATCTTTGTGCACCTGGCAGAGTCGCGTTTATATTACAGTAGTTGCATAGTCATCGCGCGGCGACAGTCGTCAAAGAAACAGAGTTTCGACCGTTCATTTCGTTATTCCCATGCGGGTTCCACGTAATCTTCGGGGATCCGTAGTCTCGATAATGTTCGAGGTATTTATTTTTTGCACCTTTGATACGTAGATCGTCGATACAGTATCTTCTGATTCGTTCTTAAGTGGAATTTAAGTCCGGCGCGCTGAACGCCCATAGGCGTTCGTTCCATGACCATCGATCGCACAGAGTTTAGAACGTTTCGTCGCGTTAACAGGAAATTTTCGTTTGATGTTGCAGCTGGTATCTCTGGACGGATTACACAGCGGAGTGCCGACCAGAACGACGCCGACGTTGACGCCGACGACGCTTCGAAGCATCGAACAAACATTCTTGGAGCTGACCAGCGAGTCAGCGTCGCACAGTCGCGAGGCAGGGTTCGTGCCGCCGTTGGTGGAACCCTCGCAGCCGACGCCGGCACAGACGCAAAATACGACGGCGCATCACACGATTATCACGACCGCTGCCGGCCCCGTGGCCGCCAACACCACCCTCGTGGAGAGCCATCAGACGCAACCGCAGCAGCCAACGAGGCGCAACATGGGTGGTAGAAGGCCCACCAGGACGATCGGGATGACACCCGAGGAGGAGGAACGACGACAGATACGTCGCGAAAGAAACAAGATGGCAGCAGCCAGATGCCGCAAGCGAAGAATGGATCACACAAATGCCTTGCTAGAAGTAAGTCGTGTTTCCTATTGTTTTAACGTGTTATCGTTTCTTTATCACCAACGAAATCAATCCGCGTTTGATAACAGCTCGAACAAAAATATTCATTGGTTTGTTTTTTTTTTTTTTTTTTGTAGGAGACAGAGGACTTGGAACAAAAGAAACAAAGCTTGCAGGAAGAGATCCATCAGCTGGAGCAGGCCAAAGACGAGCTGGAGTTCATCCTGAAGGCGCACAGGGCCGTTTGTCGGCTTCGTTCCGCGTCTCCTCCGGACGTGAAGCCCGTGATAAAGCCCGAGGTTCCGGTAGAGGAACAGCAATTCGTCGTAGCCAACTCGAAACGCGAGTCCGTGCACGCCGCGAGACCGAACAGACCGAACTCGTTGCCGGTTGGCTTCGACAACAACAACAGACCAAATTCCTTGCCGATTTTTACCGAACCGAAAGAGAGGCCCGACTCGCTGACGTTCAAAACGGTCGAGACGCCGTCCTTCATGAAACCGTCGCTGGACATCGCGGGGATGCCGATCACGACCCCCACCAGCGGCATACCGTTTAATTTCGAATCGCTGATGGAAGGTGGTACCGGTCTGACGCCTGTCTCGACCCCCCTGATACCATCCTGTTCCACGCAGCAGAGAAACAATCTGGCAGCCGTAGACCTCAGCTCCCCGGATGCGAATCCGCCGAAGCTCGTGAGTTTGTGACGCCAAGAGGGCCTCGAATACGGATCGAACGAGGACGATCCAGAATGAAGAGACGTTGTTTTTCGCCAACTACTTTGTTTCGCGGATGAATCGTTAAAAATATGTACAGGAGGAGGGAGGAACCATGACGCGCGAGGGAAACTCGACGAATTCTTTTCTACATCACCCAGTTGCCATACGTTGAACCGCCGAAGTACATAGATCTCGTCGGGCAGTATTAAAACCGGGGAACCCTCCGCGACGGAATTTGCCCTTTCTCCTGATATCTTTCGCTTCGGAGAGCCGAGATCGTACTTTGCTTCTCATCGGGAATCGATGGAGAAACACGCCGTACGATGCATTTCTGGATGACTCGTTTGTAAAGAAGAAATAAACAAAAAACACGTTGCAATAAAGGGATGATAGTTGCACTGTTATCATTGATTGTATTCGACGAACATTTTACCAAGCGAGACTCGCTACGAAACGGTTACCGTTATCATGAGATTCTGGTAACCTTCGCCCCCACCCTGTTCGTGTTTCTCGACGAGATTCGTCGCATCGAGATTAGAGCAAACGCCAAATATTATGGTCGTTCGAGGTCGTCCAGGTATAAATCCCGTTATTACCATCCAGCTAAATGTGACGATACTTTGTAACGTATCTCGGAGTTGAACGAATGGCTTCGAGTGGCCAAAATATTAGACGTCGACCTTAATTCAGTATTCGTGTCTGTAATGGATTTATCCATTCGGCAAACTGTTGATCATTTTTACTATTTCGGCGGAGTGAAATTTTGATTCGTTTTGCCAGACGAAAAGGAAAGAAATGTTTCTCGTTATCGCGTTTCGAGGAGTACGAATCGATAGCGGGAAATACACGTATATTCGAGGAACGAAGTATTTTTTGTGCATCTTAACCCGGAAGTATAGTCGCGAACGGTAGGCGAGTATCTGCGCGCGCAAGTGATATGTAATTGTATTTAACTCGTAACTGTTTATGCAAATTAGAGTATAATAACGAAACATACGAGACAAGATTGTCACTTTTTCCTTTTTCCTCTTTGAGAAATCAAGCTTAAGAGGAAATCAATTTTATACGATTTAATTATTGTGTATACATCGGGGCGAGAATCGCGTAGGATGTTTTTAAGGCAATAGTTTCCAGCGCTCAAAAACCTCTTTGTAGATTAAGAACGTCGTGTCGTCTTTGAATTGCGTCTTTAACTATCTGATCGTTGCGTAGGACAATTCAAAGGTAACCATTGTAGCGGCTTAAACGACGATAAAAATGATATATATACGCATATATATTTTATTGGAGACTCAGGCGGATGCCTTACCGTGCATTCGTTTACCTTTCGATTCGTCCAAGTCGAGTTTATGCAATACGAAACAGATTTATGTGCAACTGACGTGTTTGCAAGTCTCATCCTATAACATTTAATCCCTCCATACATATAATATATACACGTGCATATATTTTACTATGTATGACATTTTTGCATGATCTTAAGCAATATTAATATATTTATACGCGGCTGCCGATTGCGAGGCTGGGCAATGTTTCGATACAAGACTTTCTTTTTTAAACCTCGAAGGGTTAACGGCTCGTCGATTACGTTGCTACGAGCCTGCTCGATTTCAGGCTAGCCCCGCGATCGTTGCCCGCCATCGATGATCGTTTAAAAAAAATTGTAACGCACCATCGATGATGCTGCAATATATTTTGATTAGATCAAACGAATACGAGAAACCGAACATATGTAATTTGTTGAGAATAATAACGGTGTTTCCGTCGAATAAATTGTTACTTGGTCTATAGCTGTAAGCAGTCGCTGCCATTGTTATGGTGACATATAAATGCAGCGTTCTTCGGAAGTATATTCAAATGTACAAGTAACTTTTTACGTTAGAGTGATCGATTTTCATCTTTGTAAAGTTGAACTGCTGATTTCTTAATACAAAAGATTTCAGAAAAACAACGATGACGTGTTATTTGTTTAAAAGAAAACATTCATACTTTCCTTCTACTATACTGCATATGATGTGATCATTCATTTAGAACACCAGCTTTAACGAATTTCTAAAAAAAACCCGTAACCCTCTTAACAGCTTCTGCCTCGGTCGTAGGATCCATTTTTTCATAGTGATCGAATTCTAACGAAAACGTGGCGTGGCCTGAAGAAAGTATCCTCAGCTCTGTCGAGTATCCCAGTAATTCAGCCAATGGAACCAAGCACCTGATCACCTATTTGTTATCGTGTTAATTCAATTTAAATCGTTTTATTTTTAATAGTTTTCAAAAATCTTAGTTACCTTGTTCTTCCTACGAGCATCGATGTCTTGTATCTCGGCCCGCCTTTTTGGAAGGTCTGCCATAACGGCGCTCGAATATTCTTCCTCTACCTCGATCTCTAGCAGCATGATTGGCTCTAATAGTACCGATGAGCTAGTCTCCATCAGCTAAACAAGAAGAAAATTATAAACAATGTTTTCGAAATTTGAAAAAAAAAAAAAAATGACAAGCCTGACGTTACTTGTATCGAATTTCGTCTTGTTTACCAGCAACGATACCTTCGCTCTGTAAACAAGCGAACAGAAAAGATGTAAATCCCGGAGTAAGGAGACTCGCATAAGTGTCTCATATTTTTGTCGAATAATTTTGTAATTTAATGGTTGCTGGATATGTGTCCCTATTGTGTAGTGTCGGCGAGAAACCGCTAGAATATTGGAGTAAGCAACACTCGCAGTCCGGACGTATTCGCAAAATTCTAGATGCCGATTTGCTGGAGAATGTATGTCGCTAAACGTGAGATTACCGTTCCATCCTATTTTAAAACGACTCCAACTAATTCTGCTGCGAATGGTCGACAGGTTATCGAAATACAGGATTTCGAGCAATCTAATGGTTACGGCACCTCGATTCTTTGTCCATCCGATTCGTCGCAGTTTCTCAATATCGAATTACCGATTCTAGTCGTGGTCATAAAGAATTTGAATTTAAAATGCCGTTTGCAAGTACAGGTAATCGTTGCTTTAATTCCAAATTCTCCGATAATTGATCCGCGGCATTGCGCAACTTCGCTCTAGGTGGTGGATGCTCAAAATTGTTTGCATCATTTTCAATTCGCGAACGCGGAGAACGAAAAGCACAACTCCAAGGGATTAATATGTCGCGTGAAAGTAAAATTAGAAAATGGCTGGAACAAGTTGGAATTGAACCTATCGCATCTCACGCAAACTGCGTTCAAGACTGTGTACGCGGCTACGCAGAGGTTACAAATATGTGGAAACTGTCGTCTGCGTAGGATCTATTTCATAGACAAGCACTATGATAACCAGACTGTTTGTCCCAAATTGTATAACGCATTTCTTGACACCTACATGTTGAAGTGGGGTATCTTCGCTATTAATAAAACGACGCAAACTAACATTAAACGGAACAAGAACAAAATTAGAGATAATAATAATTTGAGGTGTCTCGCGAAACATTTTAGCGGCGATAATATTAAAGTGGAGAACGTTACGAAAGATTCTGGTCCCAAAGCAATCGATGAGAATTTTCTGAGAAGTTTGCAGATCAAAACCGATATGCTCATCAACGATTTTTTCGATAGACAAACGACAAAGCTGCCACACGCCTTGGAATTTAAACAGCAAGCAAAATTAAAGCGCTACGCGTTTCCGATATTGACCGCGAGCCCTAAACCTTTCCACGCCAATATTATTTCGCAAGACGTTCTGAAGAAGATCAGTGTTCTTCGAACGTTTACCGACACGTACATATCGAGCGAAGAGAAACGTAAACAAGAGAAGACCGTAAAGGATATACAGGATAATTGGCACTGCAGGTATCTTCTCGATAAAGAGGAGTCGAATAGTGGTGATTCATCCAAGCAGAGTACAACTAGAACGATGCTGAAATGTAAACCCAAGTCTTTAATGGTATTATCTATGATGAAACCAAACAGTGGAGAAGAAAAGATCGTAGGGACTCCAAAGAAGATTGCAGAAGAAAGTATCAAGTATAACGAAAACGATACAGCCAAAAATTGATTCTCAAATCGTTTGTTTGAATGTTAAAAATTAATTTGTAAAAATACCATGTCTTATGCCATGTTTAAATTAAATGGGTGCATATCATTGAAACTATCACTGTAAATGTAGAATGTCTTTACCTTTCGGATGCTTTGTGAAATAGCGGCGGTAACTATCGTCGGTACTGTACCGGGTCCATATTCCAGCCAATGTAACTTCACTGCCATGTTTACGATTGGATAGCCGAGTTTCGGTCCATTCCGAAGAACTGATTCGACCCCAGCCTTGATTGCCTTCATCATGTTGGTGTTTATGGCATCGATGTTTGCGATACAGTCCGGCGTCTTATCCAGTAATAATGTCTCGCTTCCCTGATGGTTTGGAATTAATGATACAGTCATGGTGACTGTACAATTTCTTTTTCCAATACTAAACTTCGAAGTAAAAGTATCTTTGGCAGGATTCAATATAGCTTCTTTGTAAGCGATTTGCAAGGAACCTAATTCGACATCGATTTTGAATTCCGATCTGATCCTTTCTTTGATAATTTCTATGTGCAATTCTCCCATGCCTGCAAGTACAGTTTGGCCAATTTCCTCGTCTTGAATTACTTTCAAGCTTGGATCTTCTCTCTCTAGTTGTTTGAGAGCAGTTTCCAAAGCTACCTGAGTGGAAGGAGATGGTGCTTCTATCGAACAGAAAAAGACTGGTTCTAATATCTTTGAATTTAGAGCAAAGAAATTTTCTACATCTTTTGAATCAATTTCTTTCTGTGCTTCTAGGGTCTTTCTCGCACGACTGGCCACCGTTGCACCCGATGTTATTAAATCACCGGTTGTTGTATATTTCAACCCTGTAGCTGCTGCAATATTTCCGTGACTAATTTCGGATACATCTTGATAGTCATCTGCACAGGCAACATATAATTTACCGACCTGTTCTGATATTTCCCTTTGGACATTGTACACTTTTGTACCCTTTTTTATACTGCCAGTATATATTCTAAAGAAAGTGATCGCTCCTTTTTGGTTGTCATGGACGACCTTAAATGCTCTGGCAGATAAATGTTTACCAAAAGAATCGTAATACTTCATATATTTATTTTGATCAGGTGCTGGTAGGTATAGCAGAATGCTGTCCATTAAAGGTTGCACTCCTATATTTTTATAAGAACTACCTAGGAGTACTGGAACACCTTTTCTATTTACAGTAGATCTATACAAAGAGTTGAGTAACGTTTGCGCGGTAATCGAATCCAAAGATTCTTGTTCAATGATAATATTAGCTAGCTTGTCATCCATATTAGACAGTTTATCAATTAAATTTCTACGCTTTTCAAGCGCCATTTCCCATAAACCTTTATCCTCGTTTTCGGACAATTTTAGTCTTTTATATTTCATGCCCATATCTTTAATATCGAAAATCAATTTTTCCATAGTAATTACGTTCACGATACCTTCCAGAATTCCTTTTTCTTTGATTGGAAATTGAGTAGGTAGGGCCTCTACATTTAATTTTCTTTCGATAGATTGTACACACATGTCAAAATTAGCATCTAATCTATCCATTTTATTCACATAAATAATTCTGGGTATATTGTATTTGTCAGCCTGTCTACAAACTGTCAATGTCTGAGCTTCAACACCTGCAGAACCATCAAGTATAACTACAGCACCGTCTAATACCCTCAACGTTTGCTCTACCTCCATGGTGAAATCTATATGTCCCGGAGTATCTATTAAATTAATACGATGATTCTTCCATTCAAACGTTGCCGCTGCAGAGGTAATCGTAATACCACGTTCACGTTCTTGCTGCATATAATCTGTTACTGTATTTCCATGATGAACCTCTCCCATATGTCTAATGACACCAGAATAAAATAACATTCTTTCTGTAGTAGTGGTTTTACCTGAAGAAACATCATATAGTCATAATAAATGATAAAAACACAATCAGACACTACTAAGATATCGTAAAACTGAATTAAAATAAAACGAACCCGCATCGATGTGGGCCAAAATTCCGATATTTCGAATTTTCGCAGTTTCGTGATCTTCATGTTTTCCTTTTACAATTTTGGAACTTTTTTGGGCATATCGCTTATGAAATTTATACCACGAAGTCGTTAATAGTAATCTTTGTTTCATTATGACATTTAATTAATGTAGTATGAAGCATTCAAGTCTGATCAATCAAATAACTTATTTAGTTTCAAATGATAGACAAAGATACTTCAAATAAATGTTGCATAATTTCAAGGAGGACATAATCATTCGTGCAAGTGTATGAAATATGAAGGACGGCTTTATTTAAATAAAATTACCAATTTCTTATACTGTAAAGTGCTTTGGTTATGTTTTGATTGCAATTTTATGGTGCAACCAGGAGTCACGTTTTTAGTTGGAGACAAATCCGCGCGGCGCTAGTGGCATCACACACATATCTAGCGTATCGGTGAATACCACCAACGCTGCTATGAAAATTTCAGCGTCGGTATCGGTTTGTTTTATTTATGTATAATATACGTTTCTTCTGTTGCAGGTGACTGAACCAAATTGCGAATAGACTATTTGACAATAAAAACACTGCTATAAGGTATATACTGTATGTTTCAGAAATCATCGTCGGGTTAAGTTTTGGTATCGATTTTTTTTGTATGTGGTTTTTGTCTTGGCCACCAAATTTTTTTGAGTCTCTGAATGCAGTAACCTCCACGTGGTGAGACCTGGACCCTCTATATTATTTAAGTATGTAATTGGTAACTGCACATCGCCAGTAAAACCAGATGGCATTATCAATTGCATACTATTTAATATGAGCTAATGACTGCGATCTTTCGCGTTTACAAGTAAATAAAAGTATGAGAACTTAGAATTAGTCTAAAGTAGATGTTGTTAATAAGACATAATGAGAAAGTTGTTATGCAAATATTTTATACTATCTATATAAATAATAAGTCGGTAAAAATTAAATTGAATTGGTTGAATTTGTGTGATTATGTCAATTTATTATTTTTAAAAATATTTAATGTATTACTGATCTTAGTACCATTTATTGTATTCTTTACAAATCATTACATATTCCTATATCTACTTTTAATAGTTCTTTCATCATAATATGTATTAAACCTTCTCCCACTTGCAACAATATGGGCAAGTTTACCACGAGCTTGCAATAGTCCTAACATAAAATATATTTAAAATTTATTTAAAATTTATATAAATGTAATTCATGTTTTACCAACCTGCTGCCTGTGCCATCCGTATCATTATACCGATTCTTTTCTGTTGCACTGAACATAAACCTGTTATTCTCTTGGGCAATATATTGCCGTTTGGTGTCATGAACTGACTCAGAATAAGAACATCCTGTACAAATATTTAATTACTCAGAAATGTAGCAGAAATAAAAATCATATTTCGTGCAACAAAACAAGAAGATTTACTGTATGCTTAATGTCAAGACCAGATGAGCATACTAGACATGCTCCATTTTTAGATTTCAATAATCGTCCTTCGTGTTTGTCTGGTACTATCGTTCCTTCGATAGTTAATGTCTTCCCTTCCTTTTTCTCGATAACTGCAAAATAAAGTAAACGTTGTGTTTATACAAATTGAAAAGTATAGGTTATAAACGTTAAGACGTGCAATCAAAACTAAATGAAAATGATTTTCGTATGTATACTCTACTTTATGTTTTTAACTCACTTTCTTTAAGATATGTTGTTGCAGATAACGATATATTCCTATTCTGTACAGGTACTTGCATATATTTTCCTAAACATTTTACGAGTCCGAACAACGCAGCCATCTTTATAGTGTAAGATAGAGGTTATCTCTAATCGTGTTACATACACTGAATTGCACCGAATACATGCTACATTACATTATTTTTTATTAACAATCAATTAACATTACAAAATAGTTGTAGTAATATTGAATATTTTGTGTTTCATGAATCGATTCATTTTATTTATAAACATATTCTGCGATATTATACATATTCTAACATATTCTACACAATCATTATTGGAAATATACAGCTTTCTGTACAGAAAAATTTTCAAATATACTCATAAGATTATTAGACTAATTGTCCACTAATTTAAACTTCTAAAGGGAATTGTTGATTTGCTGAATAATGAGAAAGGAAGAATCTTATTGGTCCGTTTTATTCTATCTTTCGTATATGTCAGACGACGTGGCCGATGAAACATGGTGGCCGTGTCATGCAATGTAGCTCGAATCGTCATGAGACAACGATATGTCAAGTGAAAAGATTCGTTTTTAGAAGTGTTCATTATTAACTAGTCAATAATCCCGTTGTTCCAAATTATTTAATGTGAACGTGTCGTTTTCGTGAAACATGGGTCTTTGTAAGTGTCCGAAAAGAAGAGTTACAAATCTATTTTGTTTTGAACACCGTGTCAATGTTTGCGAACATTGTATGGTTACAAATCATCCGAAGGTAATTTGCTTTATTTTTAACAAAGCGTTAAATGTACATTTCTAGTCATTATTTCTTGTAATTTAGGATAATATTGCTAATTTAATATGTAGCGTGACTTTTGCTTATCCACAACTGTTTACACACAATTTGAGAGCTTACCCATTCCTTATAAATTTTTTCAGTGTATTGTGCAGTCGTATATTTCATGGCTTCACGATAATGACTACAATCCAGTTTGCACATTGTGCTCTACAAACTTAAGCGAAGGGGACTGCGTTCGATTAACATGTTATCATATGTTTCACTGGGCATGTTTGGACAAATATGCCAGAGAATTGCCACCGACGACAGCACCAGCAGGATATACATGTCCAGCTTGTAAGGAACGAATTTTTCCAGATATAAAACTGGTGTCTCCTGTAGCGGATGTATTGAGGGAAAAATTGGCAGGAGTCAACTGGGCACGTGCAGGACTTGGTTTACCCTTGGTATATACTTTGACTATTTAAAAGGAAGACAATTTCTTCAGTTTCAAACAAATATATGTTTTATTACATTTGATACATATATATATATATATTTGTTTACATAGACAAGTATATATTCTGACTTTTTTATTTCATAGTTGAGCGAAGATAGGGAACAAAAACCTGAACAAGAACGTCTATCGTTAAGAGTGGAATCCACGTCATACCAAAACCACACGGTAACAACTTCATCGGCTCCTACGGTAGCTACATCGCGTTCTGCTAGCACCGTAAATTCGGTCCATGCTAATATAAACAATGTGCATTTAAATAATCAAAAAGTTGGGCCACCTTATTCCATTGTAAATATCGATTCATCGTCGGGTCTATCCACGCCAATGTCGAGGAAAGTTTGCGAAGCATATGACGATCCGAAAGAAATGTCATTCGATCACGATGAAAATAAGTATAAGCGAAAGTCTGCCATCGAATGGCTCTTAAGGTGGTGGAAGCTGATAGCAAGTCCACCAACGCGACGCAGGAATACACCTGGACCTCTGTACAAAAGATACGCGGTGTTAGGATTTATTGGTATATTAGCTTTTATCGGAATTTTAATTTTATTCTCGTGGCTTGGACGTATGGCTACAGACGGAGATCCAAGTTACGACCTTTTCGCCAATCCTAATGTCTTAGTCGAAGATAAACCTGCCGGTATTTAATATACTATAACGTTTAAAAGATAATTCGCACGAGGAAGCATAACGCGAATGGAACGTGTACGATGCTTGTAAAATAGCAAAAATAATTATCAATCGAAGTCAGAGACGAATATGTATCGACCGAAGTACGAATTCACTCCGAAAAAATAATTAACTTAAGATACAGTGTATTGTTAGCTATAATATTTGTTTATTTTTATGTAATCTATGCTTTATAACTGCGTTGTATATTTTGCTCTGTAAAAATTTACAAACTTTTCAAAACAATTGCGTAATGATTACATATATAAATCGTTAGTTTTTTTTATACATTCATGTACGAAGTATGAAGAGAAAATTTGTTCCCCCTCCCATTGAAGCCAGTCGGAATTTACTACAAAAGCAAGTGATTTCAAGATGATGATTAACTTGAAACAGAAGTCTGATTGTAATTAATTTTCATAATAAAAAAAAAATTCACGTTTACAGCCACTGAGAAAGAATGTTGTTTCAATGCTGGTTGAAACAAATAAATTCACCGTGTTCGATTTATTCGTACGAAACGTGATCGCGATTGCAATTCAAACGAAGGCCAAGCGTTTCATCCAAAGAATATCTTCCATAAAACATTAAACTATCTTAACATTCGAAATCGTTCGCTTTACATTCGGAAGCGTGTATAAAAACAGAAAGTTCTAATTTTGTATTAAAGTCGTGCAGTGTAGTTCGAATTTTAAAAGGGACACGCGACGACCTTACAGCATCAGAGTGGGGAAGTTGGACTTTTTTTCTTTTCACGATTCATGGCAGTCAGTTGGGAACAGGACGAGGATTACCATCGTTTCGTCTCATGCGCCTGCTTCACCTTGGCATTCGTATAATTGTCGCTCACGCATAGTAACCACTTTAATCATAATTCTATTTTATCGTATACAACTTATTCGCATTTCTTAAAATATTAAATTGTCTCTATAAAACTAACAAAGTTCCATTTCACGCGTATGGTAATTAGTATTATCTTTGAGGTGAGATACCATCAAGGTTTGCGTCGTGCACGATTTTAACAATGGAATTGATGAAATCGATTACGAGAAGGTATTCTACGATATTAGCGATCGATGTAACAAGTTCGATCGGTCTCGCTTACGCGTGGAACAGAGGACACAAGTATCTGGCATCGACGATATCTCTATGCTGCATTGGTAAGGAGTATGGACTCAGTAATTAAATTAATCGGTATTTATTAATGATCGCATATGTTCTTAACGTCAGACAGATCTAAACATTTTAATTAAACTCTCAACGTTTATCTACTTACCTGTAGAGTGACCGTTTTCTTAACTGAATGCGACATCAGCGTTGAAAGCCGATAACTCGATGCAATCGCGATACTACGTCATCCTACGGTCGTTCTACGTGCGAAAATCGTGCGAGTCGACATGAAATTACAGTGAAAATATTCCGGTAGGACATTGTTTATTCGCAACTTGTTGCGTTTTTATACAATGTATGTACACAATCGTATGTTTATTGTATTCAAAGTTTCATGTATGTCACAGCAGGGACAGTTGAACGTGAACAGAAACAACACAATGTAACCGTCTTAGTTCGCTCGAACGTTAGACAAGATTTTATTTAACAAAATAATCTTTTATTCCAGGTGGAACCTACCTGTATCGGCGCACGATGTCTCGCGATAGAATATCGACGAATCATGCCATCGTAGTCACTGGCTGCGACTCAGGGCTGGGATATAGTTTAGCTCTGCATTGCCGGCAACTCGGCGCGACTGTAATTGCTGGTGTATTGCAGAACGACGGTCAAGGGGCTAAAAATTTGAAGGAGAATGATGTACACGTTTATCCTCTCGACGTCACAAAAACCAACAGCGTCGTAAATTTCGTCGATTTCGTTCGAGCGGTCTTAACGCAGGACAAATTAGGTAACCTATTCCCCTAATGAATAGGGATCGTACAGGCGGGATTATTATGAAACTCTATTGTATTACAGTATTACGGTGTTTGATCAATAACGCCGCGGTGATGATATTCGGCGAATTCGAATGGCAAACAGAGGATCAAATCAGGTATCAAGTGGAAGTCAACTTCCTTGGCGCTATGAGACTCACTCGAGAACTGATGCCGATGATCCGCGCGCACTCTAGCAGGATTATCATAATCTCTAGCCACTGCAACATACAACCAATTCCTGGAGTGGCGGCTTACAGCGGGACTAAAGCTGCGATTACTGCCTGGGCCACAGCCATTAGAGTAGAACTGAAGAAGTACGGCGTAAAGGTCGTTTGCTTCGTCCCTGGTCCGTAGACAGTTATCGTATCGATGAAACAAATGACGAACAACTCCCGTCTTACGCTTTCTCGCAGGTTCTTTCGTTACGGAAAGCAATATATTAGCGCGACAAGCCGAACATTTCGAAACGATGAGGAATTCGATGGCAGACGAAGCGAAAGTTTTTTACGCCGATTACTTTGCTAGATACTCCGAATATTTCGGGTCCGTGGCGCCGAGAGGGGAGTTAAAGAAACTGCAGGGCCAGCGTATGTACGAGGTCTTCGAAGATGCCCTCCTCGACAAGCATCCATCAGCGATTTACAAGTACGTTCGCGGATCGAAACCGATGATGAACTTGGGTGACGAATAAATTGCTCGGAACCGAATAATAAAATACGATTGCTTGACAGAAATAAAAATTCATTATCGTGGAAGTGTATAATTTCGGCTCTCTAGAAACTCGTGCTACCCGTAAATACCATAATAATCGAATATAATACACTTTACCTTTGGTTGTCTCGAGTAATGTAATTCCACCCAGACGTCTCAAGCCACTGAGCTCCCTTAGAACGAGTATGAAATTGCTATCGTAACGGTCCTCCGATATCGCACTTTTCGATTGAGATACGGTTCACCACGTGCGTCGGAACTTCATTTTTGTCTCGATAACTCGACACCTGCATCGGAACACCTGGCCGATCCGATTACCTCAAATTAAAAATATCTCGACGACTAATAATCTATCTTAAGTGATCTCTGCGATTTATGTTTTTCCTGTTTGATTAACAAAAGATAAAAATGTTATTTAAACTTTAGGCACGAGTCATGGAGATACTGCATCTATCACACGTTGTTTTTGGCCACGCCGACACGCGTGCGAGATTGGCTGGTCCAGAAATTCGTGCAAGGACCGTCTTGGACGAAGAAAGCTGTCCAAACACCAAATGGAAAGGAGACGTGAAAGAAATGCAAGAACAACCGATACATTTCTGTCTATTAAAGAATTCTTTTCGGTTAAGATAAACGTAACAAATGACATTTTTTTTTTTTTTTATAATAGAATATAAGTTTATTAAATAAAGAAATAGTTTCATTCTGATAGAAGTTTATCATATTATTACACGTGTAAGTGTCCGTTGTTACATTTGTTTGATTTGTACCACCTGCAACACTCTACTAATCACATTTATCAAATTAATCACGCGATTTTAATCGATAAAACGTGGGTTACGTACACTTTCCGAATGCCAGGTGTACGTCTGAAGTGTTTTTGAATGTTGGTCAACGATTTTTGATTTCGATGCCCAGTGCTCGATTAGATATTACCACGGTATAAATAGCTTAAGCTTTGGTTGACAGAGCATCAGTTGATTCAGTTACCGAACCAGCTACCTAACCAGCTACCAAACCAGCCACTAAACCAGCAATGGCATTCTTCACTTACGGTTTGTACCATTAATTACTACCTTAACTCGTCTTTGCAATAACTTCGCTTTCTACTAATCTTGCCAATATTTTTGTATCGACATTGTTCAAGAATCGGACATTGGATAGATACATTGAAATTCTCTCTTTTTTTTTTTTATATCTTTGGAATACTAAACGTTTCAAACGTATCTCTTCGTCTCGTTCTAAAAATCGTATAATTGTAGTTTACATCGTCGCGGCATTCCTCGTCGCCGACTCCATGCAGACGAACTTCCAGACCTGCAGCGGCCAACCTGCACCCACCAACGTGGTGATCTCGGGATGCGACTCGCTCCCTTGCCCTTTGAAGAGAGGTACCAACGTTGATGGAGCTATCAGCTTCCGCGTTCGTAAGTATTAAAAGAACATACGTATAAGAAAAAAAAAAAAAAAAAAACACGAAACTTGGACATTCAATATTCTCCATTGAACAACGTGTTACAGTTGAGAACACGAAAACCCTGAAGCCGGTGGTAGACGTACAGCTTGGAGAGATCCACATGAAGTACCCACTGCCCCAGCAAAACGCTTGCAAGGACCTCACGAACGCACAGTGCCCATTGGACAAGGGCGAGACCGTCACCTACCATCTGAACATGCCCGTCGAGAAAGCATACCCGAAAGTTTCCATGATCATCCAACTGGCTTTGGTCGACGAGCTTAACAAGACCCAGATGTGCGTCAAGATCCCCGCCAAAGTTGTTGACTAATCATCAAGAAAGGACTCACGCTTTTTGACAAAATGGAACATGTTCATATGAATTGCAACCCTGATATTTAAATATATAGATTAATTACTTAATAGACGCTTCATCTTATCCCTTTCTCCCGATTGTAAGAATTTAATAGACACGCGTACAACAAGATATAACACAAGGCGATCTATAGTACACAAGTATAGTACACAAGCTATAGTGGGGCTAGCTGTCGTCACAGTAGGATAGTTAAGAGTTTAAGACTATTAAGACGATGTAGAAGTAACGCACGACAAAGTTACGATAAGAAAAATGGAAACAAGTCGGAAGTACGTACCAGCGTAATAACTATGCCTGTATAGTTAATCAGTTTAAATAAGTACGAGATACAATGTGATATCCATAAATGCATATCAAAAGTTCAGAGGTCGAAGCTGGCCATGGAAACAGGTAAATCTGATGTACAAGCTTAGGTTGTATATAACCCAGCTTTTGAGTAATAGAAGAGCTTGCGTTAAATTCACGCGTTACACACGTCCGTTGGGCGGAGAAAGGGATGAGATGAAAATCCAGGGGGTTCGGGCGTATGCCTGACCCACATCTCCGCGTAACGATCGACCCGGTCGCATGGCTCTGAAAGATATCTAGCGACACCTTCGAACACTCTCAGAACGCGAACAATCGTACCCTGAGATACCATAGCTATAAGGGGCTCGGTGGGGCCCAACGGACTACAGGGCCTGTAGTACACGCATCCCCGATAAGGACACTAAAAACTAAAGGAACAAATTGTACATTGGGTGTTATAGTCGAGTCGATACGACTTCTCACCCTTATAAATAAAACTCGCACGCTCCTTTTACCATTCCTTTTACCTTTTACCTTATAAATAAAACTCGCTCGCTCCTTTTACCATTCAAGCTATTCTTTTAGTCCAAATTTGTGGCTTAATTACAAAGTGTTTTCTCGATGATGATCTCGATAAAGGAGACCTCGATACGCATCCATCGCTTCCTTTCACGTGTCTACAAACTTCGACATCGTCCCATCGATCATCCTATATTGGTTCGTACAAAATTTCATTCATGTAGAAAAGAAGAGGGGAGTGAGAGAACAGGCGCACGTCGATAGGTCAATTTAATTAAATTACCTGAATGATCGTTTTCCAGGTACACGGCAATCCGGCGGTCACGCGTGTCCTGGTACAGAGGGTGTGCACCTTGCGTCAATCGTTTACAAATTTGTCGGCTCGTCCGATTGGTCAGCATTCGTCCTTGACATTATTCCGCCTGGATGACGTCTGCCCTACCACATAAGATAAAATAGGAACGACGCGTATAAGTGTGCCCGAACGTCATTAAATGGGCTGTTGGGTGGTACAGTTAGCACGAAGAAAGAATCGACTCGATCGGTGGAACGAATCCACGTGCTAAAATTCTCCAGGAACTTGTAGCTATTTATTCGTTTGAACATGGACGAACAGTTGTTTATTTCTTATACGTTATTCGAAGTTTGTACAATATACAGATGAGAATTCGCCCATCTTTGGTTTCGTAATCATCGCTCGTTTCGTTCGGTCGTGGAATGGATTTGCCGACCAACGCAGGGCTTACATAGCACGGGACTCGCATACTCTCTTTTACGTGTACATACCTTTTTTCTCTGTCCTTCCTATTCCGCCGACCCTTCGATTCTTCTGCTTCGCGACACGTGTATGTAATACCAATTTCCATCGTAGTCACTGTACCAATAACGATTCCAAAGTTGGCCGTGCCTTGCATACGAACCAAGTCGAAAACAAACAAATTTCATGGCGTCGTACGAATGGCTTCGAAACATCCCCGCTGGAGATGCTGCTACCGATAAATATCGGTAAATGTCGATAATGCAGCTGTGTATCGTCATTTATCCGTATTTATGTTTGGAATACACAAACGCGAAAACTGTAAATAATGACACAGACGCGGATGACAAATATTTAACGAATCGTCCGAACAGAGTGCTCAAAGTATATAGAAATATTTATAAATGTTTTGGCGCGATTATGGACAAAGTATCGGTAACGCGGATACAAGTGTGATACTGCGATGACTGCGAAAGAGAGAAGAGGAAGAAACGGACGTATAAATACGAGGAAACTAGAACTTTGCATGCACTTAACCTCGCGAGCGAACCTGCTCTTTTGGACGCAAGTACTCTCGTCCGATGCATCCGACAGTAATGCATCGGGTGAAAAATGACTCGGTATATGCGTGTGAACAGCATAGAGATCTCGCTCTGTGAGAGATTAATGAGACGTGCGTTTCGGTAGATTACGAATAGGAATTCAGACCTCTGTACTTGGAGATCGACGCGAGGAATGCTCGAACGTTGCGAGTAATTTTTGCCGTTTCGGTAGATCGCGTTACTGAAAGGTAAATGTCGGGTAGAAATCGCTATACACGTCCGGTTCACCCATCGCGACAACATATAAAACGTTACAGGCACATTGAGAGAACTTTTTCCCGGTTTTCAATCATGAGTGTGTCAGCTATCTTCGTTGGAACGGACTTTTATACAAAACTTGCGGAGTTCGCGTTTCGCCCACGTTTCAGTCAAAGTATTGTACACAATACCGATGCAATACTATCGTATCGTGAAGTGCTCGTAACATGCATCTACGTGAGCAGTGAAGCGAATGAGAGCGAAGCAACTGAATTGAAAGTCTGGTGACACAATCGTCCCGGCTATCTGAAATTAATTGAACGTGACATTTATAAACTAAAATTGACGCCAGGGTTTTTCGAGCTTCCCCATTCTTTTAATCAAGAAAATGTTCAAACGTCCATAAAGGGTTAAACTCGATAAATCGATCGACCGAACGAACATCGAACTATCGATTTTACGATTCCATCGATAACGTTGGTACGCGATAGAAAAGCGCGCGCTGCCGTCGCAACGCGGAGGACAGTTGTCGTTTGTCGTGATATTCGAAATTCGTAAAAAGGACGGGACGTTCGACCGAGCTTAATCAACGAGGATCAACGAGAGCAAAAGTATGCGGGAAGGTTAATACGCTCCGAATTAAAGCGAATCTCTCTTCGCCTCAGGGGATCATCAATCGAGAGGAAGAAAGAGAATAGGACGCAACGGTCCTATACCGGCGACACCTAACCCCAATCTCGTAATTCGTTTGTTGGAGGACTCGTGGCGGAGTGTATAATATTGGCTGATCAAATCCGTGAATTCGAGAGAGATTCGCCGAGCGAGCGAGTGAAAGGGACTTGTATCGGTCGCCCAAGATGATGGTGGGGGCACAATTGTGATGAGCCGGGTTTGTCTTCGCGTCACTTGTAAACTTGTACTTACGCGGTTGGTAGTATGAAAAGGCGTTCCGTGTCGTGACGTCAGCACGTGGTTCGGTGTACTGTTCGCGCGAATCGGTTCCGCGACGAGTTTATTCTGTTCCTACGCGCGTGAACGTACTCGAATCGAACGCGTGTGTATCATCGAAACGAAGTCAGTGTCGTGCGTACTCCCGTGGTTCTCTGGAGATCGTAAGTGCAGCGTACCGAGAGCAGGTATTCAGGACGTCGACTGACCGCCATCGTTGTTGTCAAGATGGCGTCGAAAGGGAAGTTAGCAACCGAGGTCAGTAACATTCTCTATTGTTATCCTTTTACGCGTTCGGCGTTTGTTCGATGACGACGCAAGTGCAGGGTAAACGTACGAGGAACGCCTGAATCGAACGTCTCGTGCGTTCTCCTCTTTCGTTATCGATTATCTTATCGACCTCGCGATCATCGCGTCGATCGTGTCGCGCGCTTCGTGAAACCCGAGGGCATGCGTCGCGTTCATGCAGGAACGTCATACCGTTCGGTAAACCACGCCCTTCGGTAGCTTTCCCAAACAGAATTTCTTATCGATTTTCCTTATTGATTTACCTCGCCACGTATGACGTTTTATATAGGGAGACGGTTTCGTGCAAATAACCAGGAAACGAATTATACAAATACAGCACGACGATTAGGGTTAGGTTTAAACGTAGCATTTCTAATGCGTCTCGTCTCTTTGCATATTTTCTTTTCTTTAACAACTTTTAATAAGGTTAGATGTATAGGGTCGTAGACTTTGTACAATAAAAGTAGCCGAATGGGCTAGCTCGATGTTCGCGACTAAAGTTACGCCGTTCTTACTAATTAGTAATGTTACTAATTGCGACAGAAAAAAAGTGAATACCTACTAATATGGTTAATTGCGATGAGTGTTCCATAGAGAAGTATCATTCGTGTAATCGTACATTTGCGACGAATGATCCTATATCCGTGAAATAAGAAATATTATTCGACCGCAAAATGAAATACAACAGTATAATTTATGGTTACATTCGAATACGATTCCGCGCATTTTTGTCTACAGTCGACCGGAAAAATGAAAATGCTCAGAGGTCGCGTTCTTGTTTACGAGGATAAGCATGCTACAGTACTGTTAGAATTCGTTCAGTATGGAATCAACAAAGCGTGTTATTTTCCACGTTTCTCGATAATACGATACTAAATAGTATTCGGTAAATTTGTTTCCAAACAATATTTAACCAAATATGACCTCCGGTAGGAGGATGAGATAGATATTTGACAAATTTTACTGTACAGATTTATGTCAAGGCCCGAGTGTGTCGGCAACGATTGCCATCCCACGGGAGAAGGCGAAGTGACAGGCAATAAAATCCCCTAGAAATGTTGCACAGCCTACTTTCCTATCCCTCTCCACGGAAAGTTCGCGACCAACGACCGCATATGAAAATATTTCATGCCTCTTTGTTTCGCAATCCGTACTGCCCTCTAGTTATACCGGACAAATATTGCGCTTTCGAAATTTGTTTTCAAACGTCGACAAGTTTCCTTATACGGCGCAGTTTCGAGCTTAGAATAGGTTTCTACGAATGTGTTTTTATCTTGGCAGGTTGCCACGGGTTGAACGCGTGTAGCAGCCTTATTTTTATGTATCACGAGGTTCGACCTAAATTTCAGGGGTCCACGGATGAATCGTCCGCATAATAGAAGCTATAATAAAAGAAAATTGCTGTCCCTTCGGAAACGGCGACGACAATGCCGATTAGCTGTGTAAGCTAATGTCCGGCGACCCGACGAAAAATCGCCAGTGTACAACACGCGATCGAGATCGTCCCGATCGTTGAAACATGTACGCCGCTGACAATTACTTCCCTTGACCGTCGCGAATGTTTTTGTTCGAGATCGTTGACTTCGACGGGGTAACAACCGTCTTTTTTATATCGCTCGTTAGACGTTCAACTTTTTTATTTTATCATTTTTCCTTTCGCAATTTCTTTCTGAGAATGCCACTGGAACACAATCGGCTCGCTTTTTAATTCATAGAGTCCACTGAAGTCGATCGTCGCGTTACGTCCCTGACTCGGTAAAGTGTTTCGTAGAGCGACCGCCAGATGACAGGAGCTGTACGAAAATAGCGTAATGCGGTAGAAGTTCTGACACGTCTGTCCGACGTTTCTCTCGTCTCTTTTTTTTTCTTGCTCCTCGAACGTCTCTCCTTGTCGGTCTCGTCTCACCTTCGACGCTAATTTGAACGATACGGTTCGCGCTTATTATCGCTAAATTAGCCATTATGTCGTTATTTTAACAAGTCGATGTGTGTCAGGGGGCCGTGCACACGCTTCCAGTCCGTTCCACTGTATTTCCTCGTCCAATTCCTCTTCTGCCTGCTTCGGTATCGTCGTCGCGAAATTATCCATCTTTCA